AACAACTATATAAATAGTTACAAGAAACTGTGCGGCAGTCCCAAAGGCACACAATTCAAATCCACCATCTCCCACGCCCGGATGCTAAGAAGGCTCAGAGATGATGCTTGGCTTTTTGCTTTGTGGTTCCTTCGACTCAGTGTCAGTCCCTGTGAATCCTCAGAAGTCCATGCAGTCTCCATGCACAATGAGTTCATTCCAAAAGCATGAGTTCTGGAAACGCCCCCTCCTTAAAGGCCTTCGCCTCCAACTCCTACTGTGACAGAGAGCGAGAGTGAGCACAGGTTCTCTTCCATGCCTAAGAACTGCACATAAACCAGAAATAGCTGGTTCAATCTACTGTCATACAGCACGGTCCAGACATCATTCCCCACCAACAGCAACCATTACAAGGTCTTGTAATCTTCACTCAACATTCCAGAGATATAGGAGCTGAGTGGCCAGGAAGGGCAGGGTGAGGGTATAAATAGAGTGGAGTGACAAAGGACAGATCCCAGCCCTGCAGGGCCTGGGTGAACCCTCTGCCAAGTCAGCACCGTTACATCCAGGGCATTTCCCACCTTGCTGCCTGGACACACACTAGCGGCCTCCCAAGGCCAGCCCCTGCCCACCACAGCCCGACACGGCTGGATCTCACACTCCAGCTTTCTCCTCACAGGTTCTCTGTCTCAGCTGAGACCTGCTGACAGCATCCCGGAGGCTCATGTGAGGCCATGGATTCTCCACTCAGTCAGGAAAGGTCTGGGTCACTAGAGCAGAAACAAGTGCAAGAGGTGACAGAGAAGGGACGAAGGGGGAAAGTGACAGGAAAATGAGAAGAGGGAAGGTCAGGAATTATTTCATTCTGGGCACACAATCTGTTCTGGGCAGATCCTTGTGGACCAAACCCAGTTATTGAACTCTGGAGACCCAGAGAAATGGGGCTAGAGGGAAAGTCCCAATCTCTGTGACACCACACAGGTGTGCCCTCCTACTGTGGGGTCAAATAATGGGTGTCTCTTGGGTGGCTGTCCTTGGGTGGGCTTGAACCTCTCATTTTTTTAATCATCAGCCAAGCAAACACTTTTACACACATCCTGCAGCGAATCTGGCACATAGAAAGTGCCCCATAGACAATTTCTCTCCTGGTTCCCCTTCACGCCCTGCCAGCAACTGCTAAGGCTTTCTTAATTCTGACGCTACATAGGAATCCAAGGACAAGAAAATATCTTTCCTTCACTTATTATGTGTCAAGCCCCTGAGCAACAGCAACAAAACAATCTAACATCATTGAATATGCTAGACCACGAGCTTCGTAATTAACTTGCTGTGCATCACAGAGCTGGGCAATGACTAAGGATAACAGAAGAAGAATCAATGCCTTTAAGTTGTGGTGCTGGAGAAGAGTATTGAACATACCATGGACTGCTAAGGGAACAAACAGGTCTGTCCTAAGAGAGGGTTGAAGGCAGACTGCTCCTTGGAGACAAGGATTTTGAAGCTCCATCTGACATACTTTGAGCATGTTGCCAGAAGGGACCAGTCCTTGGAGAAGGACATCATGCTTCGAAGGGTAGAGGGACAGTGCAAGAGTGGAAGATTCTGAATAAGATGGATTGACTCAGTGACTGGAGTGTTTGGGGTAGGTGTGTTGAAGATAATAAAATTGGCTCAAGATAGAGCAGGGTACAGAGCTGTTGCTCAGTCCAAATTACTTGACAGCACATAATAACAACAAAGTCAAAGCATTAAAATCCTGCTCTTTCATTCACCCAAAACCACTTGTTGAGTGTGTGGTGCTGGTAAGCTTGCTGAGCTGTGCGCAACAAGGCTGTGAACAGTCACTGCCACTGAAGTGCCCTCATTTGGTCCCAACCATGTCTTAGAATCCTCGGGTGGTACAGACTGAAAGACTGGAGGTTAAGTCCACCTAGAAGTACCTTAGAATAAGGGGCTGTGATCTACTTCTGGAAAATTTGCCACTGAAAACCCCATTGAGACCACAAGCACAGTCGTGCTCTGGCACACGTGGGCTTCTCACGAGGCAGAATTGATTAAGGGTAACTGTCCCCAGTGTGTGCTTTCAGAAAGGAATATAACTACATTCTATCAGCTTTTATCAGAATCTTACGTCTCAGAGAATGCAATATGGTCCAGAGACGATGATGACACATCACACAATAACACAAACAGAAAGCGGTGCATGTAGAGAGCTGAATGAGTATGCATGTGTGAGACCCCCCCCAGACAGAAGAGGGGACAGCACTGCCCACAGCCACAAGCTGTTAGGACAAAACTCTGACCCTCAACTCTACTCTAATACAATTGTATTTTCCCCCCCAATCCATCTGCAGTGAAGGATCAGAGTTCCTTTTTTTAGTTTCAATCTGTTGCCTAATAAAACCCTAATCCACTGCCTTTGAATTGATTCCAATCCATGACAACCTGATGGACAGAGCAGAACCTCTTACTGGGGTTTCCAAGCCTATAAACGGTTATGGCAGCAGATTGTCATACCTTTCTTCCATGGAGCAGCTGGAAGGTTCGAACTGCCACCCTTTCGGTTAGCAGCCAAGTGTTTTAACCACTGTGCCACCATGGCTCCTTCGTCATCCACTACTTTTGCAGCAGATGCAAACCCTGTGCTTGGATGTTGCTGCCACAGCTGTTGTTGTTAGGCACCATCAGGTCATCTCGGATGCAAACTTTTGCTCTGTCCACCTGCAGCCACTACAGCCTTTGATTTCCAAGCCCTCACCGGATCACACTCTCCACCTTCTTTTTTCTTCCATGTCTCCTCAGGCTCTTGTTCATTCTCTCTACCTAACCTTCCTCCCTTCCCATTTCACCTCTGCCAGTTCAATATTGAAACTATTTGGACATAGAAAGTCAATTCCAGCTCATGGCGATCCTGTGTGTGTCAGGGTTGAAGCAAGTGTGGATGGGTTTCTGGAAGTAGATCAAAGGGACTTTATATGAGGTATCTCTGAGTGGACTTGAATCATAACCTGTGGGTTACCAGTTGAACACATGAACCGTTTGTACACTCTGTGACTCCCAAATTATTGTAAAGATTTCTAAATGCTCACCCGCAATGCCAGTGTTCGCCATCATGAGAACATGAAACAGCCCAAATGTCCAACCACCTCCAAATGGATGGATAAACTGTGGTGCATTCACAGAATGGACACTATGCAGCACGCAGGAGCAACAATTAAAAAAAAATACTAAAATCGCCTGTGACTTCATTCATAGCCACTGGTGAGAGTCAGCGCCCAGAGCCATCAGGGGCTTTAAGCTCGTTGCCCACTGCTGTGGTATGGACAGCTGAAACCCAGGCCCCGACAGGCCCCTGGGGGGGGGAACCCCAGACTCTATTTCATGCTCTGCTGGAGAAGGAGGGGCAGTCTCCTGTACCAGTCAGATCCAATTTGACGGTACACACACACACACACACACACACACTTTTTCTTCTTCTTTTTTAAAAAAAAGACTACTTCAACCATCGTGGCCCTCTGCCCAGGGCGGGCTGCCCTCGGCCCCCAGCTCGGGGCGAGCCGTCGCGGCCCTCTGCCTGGGGCGAGCCATCACGGCCCTCTGCCCGGGGCAAGCCATCATGGCCTTCTGCCTGGGGCGGGCTGCGCTTGGCCCCCGGCTTGGGGCGAACTGTCGCGGCCCTCAGGGTGAGCTCCTCAGTCCCCAGATTGTGCCATCTGACCCTGGGGTGGGGAAGGAGAAGAAAAAAAAAAAAAAGAAAGCCTAGGGTATCCAGAGAATGTTACCTAGGCCACCTTCTGCCACCCTCCCCCCACTCCAGTAAACCTGAAAGCAACACCCTCAAAGCCCTTCTATTTGTAACTCACAAGTTTGTTCTCTCTAGGTTTGCTCCCTTTCCTATAGGTAACCTTAACTCTGAGTTTTACTCCATAATTGACCCTGAACCCAGTGCCAGTGACAAAAAGGAAATACAACTGACAGCTAAGGAAGCAAAGGAGGATGGAGCCTCTGAGTTCAACCAGCTATCCGCACTGGACCCACCTGGGAAAACACTTTGCAGTCCAGAGGGGAGCAAATGACAGGAAAATATCTTCTAACAGAGCAAGAAGGCAAGCAGCTGTAACCCAAGACCACCAGTAAGGTGATAACGCGTCCTCCCTTCCCCCCTTTATATCTACGCCCCTGTTCAGCATGAAGAAGCCAGAGAGTCGGCATCCAATTCCCAAATCAATAAGACAGTTGGTTTAATTACTATTGGAAAATGCTTGTCATTCCTCTGTAGCATCTGGTCCCCACTGGACCCTCATCATTTCCTTCACCTGCTCCCCCCACCGACCAAACTGTGCAGCTCTGCAACTGCATCCTGGCCCATCCTCACCCTTCTGCCCCCAACCCTCACCTCGTTGTACCCCCAATATGTTTTTCCCAATAAAAAAATACTACATAACTTGGGAGACGCTGGAGAGCATTATGCTGAGTGAACTAACACAGTCTCATAAGGACAAATACTGCATAAGACCATTATTGTAAAAATAGAAGGATAACTAGTAAAACACATATAGGAACTCAAGGGGGGCAGACAGGTGGGAGGGGAGGGGTGAGAATAGATAGGGGTGAAACCACAAGGTTGCACAGTTTAGTGGGTGCAAGGAGGGGCAAGGAAAGGGGAAGGAAGGATCCAGGTGAAAAGGCAGGGTAGTGATGGGCAAGATCCAATGATGATTGATTTTACGAAACATGATGCATGGGAATGACCATATGAAACACAGTGTGAATGAAGAATAGGGTGAAAAACAATGTATATTAAACTTTGTAAGCAGATCAATAATAATAATAATTTAAAAAGTCAGATTTACCTCACTGCTACCCAGCAACAACTCACAAGCTGACACAATCTCTGGACCGCATGCACCTTGAGTAGCGCTGATGGAGATTAGTAAATCCCACAACCTTTGCAAACTCTTACAGAAACTGTCACATGTGACAACCAAATACAAGAGAAGCAACTGTAAAGGTCAACTTACTTGATGATGGTTGAAATCTGACCAGATCTTGCAAGTCAGTAGAAATCTGGAAAACATGGCTGTAGAACTGCTGGACAGAATGCTTCAGGACAGAAATGTCCCTGGAATGGGAGCGCAGGGTCCCGTTCATCTGGCGGACGCAGCTCCACAGGCTGCTCACATGCTTGTTGAGCCCCTCCTTGATCCTGTGAAGACTTCCCGAGATGGAATCCAGCTTGCTGCACGTCCTCTCCATCTGTTCCACTCTGCCCTCAACTGTGGAGACCTCCGTCTGGACACCTTGTGTACTTTCTCTACAAGCATCCAGCCCAGTAAGGACCTCCATCTGCAGCCTCTGAAATCTCTCCTCCAGCTGGCTGCAGCAATGAACTGTGGGATCCTGGGGAGAGGGGAGAGCACCTGTCCTTTCTTCCTCATCTCCTTCAGCAAATCTGTCCCCTGCAGCATTCTGACCTTGTCTGCAATCGCGCATCTCGTTCTGAAGAACATTCACTTCACTTTCTGTATGATTTAGTTGCGAATAAAGGAAATAAAAGTCCTGTTGAAGTTTCTGGATGCTCCGCTCCGTCTCTTGAAACGTCCTATGCACTGTGTCATTGAGAAATTTCAAAAGCCTCGCACTGTCATCCATGGTGTAGTCACCCCCATCTGGCAAAGCACCGTCTAACCCATGATGTTCTCCTTGGAAGTTCTGCAGGCAAATATCCTCCACGACTTGGATTTTATCCTTCAGATGGTTTAATTCTGTCAAGACCTGTGAATTCTCTGACCCCAGCAAGCCTGGTAGGGCTGAGCCTGAAGGAATGAATTCAGCATCAGTGTTATTAGAGATCTCCAGAAGAGTGCTTCCCAGGCGGTCTTCCAGAGACTGAATTTTCTGGTCAAGGAGTTGCTTCAACTCATTTACCTCTCCATTAATGGCCCCCCTAAGTGTTTCCTCAATATAAAAGCAATGCTCTTCCGCATTCTTCTCGGTCACATTGATCCTTGCATCCAGCTCATTCCATCTGGCATCAAAGTCCACTTCCGGTTCGGGAACTATGAGGCGGTCAAACTCATTGTCCAGCCGCCCGTTCAGCATCCTGGTGGCTTCAGCAACTCTTTCAATCTTCTGGTCTAATGTCTTGATCTGTTGGCTGACGTCATCCTTCTTCTCACGGTCACAGCAGTCTGTCTGGGCTGAAGGCTTCGGCAGCTGCGCTCGCAGGTCATTCATTTCTTTCCTCAGGTTTGCTTCCTTCTCTCCAATGAGCTCTATCACCCCCAGGTAGCTGCTGCCATAGTCATCACACTGCTGCTGCAGACCAACCAGCTTGTACTCACAAGAGTTCTTCAGGTCGGCCAGCTTCCTGTCCATCCCTTCCATGAGCTCCTCTCTCAGGGCATCGATCTTACTGTCCACGTAGGCTTGGTAGAGCTCGTTGGTGGTCATGGTCACCGTGGGTCCCTGGGCGGCCTCCTGGAGCTGTTTGAGCTGCCCTTCGTAACCCTTCACTTTCCCGTCCAGCTCTTCCAGCTTGTCACTTTTGGTCTTCAGCACATCCTTGACTTGGGCCAACTCAGACTTGATGTCCTTCATGCCAGGCTCCTTGCTGATGCCAGGGGACTGGGGCGCTTCTGCGTCGCTAGCAACAGCACCGTCAGGCGTTGGCTGGGGGTGCAGGTTGTTAAGCCATGGTACTGGCACTTTGCCGCCATCATCCTGGACGGCATGTTTTAAGTTTTCGCTCCCTCCTGCGAGAGAAGACTGGAGGTCAAGAACTGTCCTGGTGAGCCGAAGAACCTTCTCCTCAAGCACCTGGATCTTCTTTTCCTGAAGCTCTTGGGGCCCCTGTTTGGGATCAGCAGCCCGACTTGGTTCTGATGCACGAGTTGGTGCCAAAGTCCTCTTGGGTCCCGGGATTTGGTTTGGTTCATTATCTGTTATTTAAAAAAAAAAAAAAGAAGAAAAAAAAAGAGTTGGACATTGGCTTAACATTCTCTGTCTTTAGACAGGTTCTGCAAAGACAGTAAACAGAGCACTTGGGGACTACATTGAAACTTTCACTTACAGACCCATCAGCTAACTGCCAGCAAGCTATTAGCGTGGAAGAGTGTGGGTTTTGGAGTCAAGCAGGCCTACACTTTCATTCCAGCTCTGCTGATTACTGTCTAGTCTTGTGCAAGTTTATAAACTTTTGTGAACTACAATCCTCTCATCCATCTTCCCTCTTTGAGCATGCTCTGGTGGCCTAGTGGCAAGAAGCTGCACTGCAATCCCAAAGGGACATAGTTTGAGGCCACCAGCGGCTCCACAGGAGAAGGAAGGGCAATCTCCTCAGCTATGGGTCGGTTCGACTCTATGGTAAACAACAACGTCTTCCCCCTTGAGGGCTGTTAAGGGACTGTGTACATAACATATAATACATAATGGAGAGCCAGTGAGTCCTTTCAGCCCCAAAGAAAATATCCTTTATCTGCTTTATCATGTGAACACATCACTTCCCACATTAGTGAGATGCAGCCACATCCTAATGGTTGACTGGACACTTAAAACCACAAGATGCCAATTTAGCAAGATCCACCCATGAACTGTTGGATAATATGATATCACATGAGCACCAAAGTTATCTCAAAGCAACTCTTGGTTGATATTGTTGACTTCTATATCTTAAAAGAGCCATAGACATTGTCTAGCTGTGTTATGCTGTTGGGGAAATGAAAAGAAAAAGAGAGATAAGAGCAACTGACTTTATTATTATCTCTCAAAATGAAAAAGTCAGCTAGGCATGTACAGAAGATAAATTTATTAAGTAAAAGAACATAATTAATTTTTTATAATCTTACTTTAAGAAATAAGTTATAAAAAGCTCAGATGAAGATGGTGGTTGCACATTATTTCATTTAGAAAATACAAAAATTCATTTTGTTTTGAAGCTGGGTATTAAACTGGAATAGGTCTCACATCCCTGAGGATGGGGTAGTTGTGCTCTGACCTGGATGTTCCTTATTGTTTCTTTAGAATCTTAATTGGTGTGTTGTTTTGTTTTGTTTTTTAAATATCCTGAGAGATTAAACAGTAGCTTTGTTAAAAAAATAGAGATAAATAGATTTTTTAAAAGACTGCCAAATCTTGCTGCAATAGGAGTTTCACAAGCAAAGCAGACCCTTGAATATAGAGTACAGGAAATATTGGTTAGAGGTTAGCATTGTCAAGTCTACCAACTGTAAGGAGTTGGAAAACATCAAACACAAACTAGATTACAATTAAACAACCTGCATAAACATACACTGACAAACTCTGGAAGTAAATTTACAATGTTGTGTTTTTGTTGATTCTTCAATGCTTTCCCACCCTCCTCCTCTGCTGCATAGGATCATCACAATAGCTATTATTTACTAAAGTCATTTTAGTCAGAAAACCAAGAATAGGATTTGATTCAGATGTCCAGACACATCCTGTCTGCTGCAGAGAACCATGGGGTACATTCTATCTCCATACTGCAAAAAACAATCTATCTTGAGATGGCAGATGAAGAAAACAAGTGTTAATGGCAAAGGCCACAAAAACAAGTGATGGAAGAATGGAGGACCGTCACAGACTCAGGGAAATGCTTCCCTCTGACACCAAGGAAGACCATAAGTTGCTGTAACTTTTTCAAAGGACAATTTGGAATATATACCAAAGCTCTGTGGGTGAAGGGTGGGCAGTCTCCTCCCGTGCAATTAACTGCCTTTGAAAACCCGGCGGAGGGTCGATAGGTCTGTTCCAACTCAACGGCAAACAACAACAACCAAAGTTCTCAGAATCCCACTAGATTACACTTCTAAGAATTTATTCTAGTAAATAATCAAGATAGTACACTTATAAACTATAAAACATTTAAAAGGAAAGATGTTTATAAGAATATTATTTTTAAGTAATAATATTGTTTTTTACATTCTTAATAGCACATTTAATACATTTTTAATAGTTAAAAGCTACACAGAACCCAAGTGGTCAAGAACAGGGGCTGTTTCAACTACAACACATTCAAATAGCCAAATTCTCTGAAGTCATTAAGGGATATTGAGGAATATTTCCTGACACAGAACCTCTGGGTTAGTAGTGAGTACAGTACCTGCATGTACCACTCAGAGGCTCCATGGCTAGTCCATGGCCTACACCTAGTAAGACAGAAACACAGAGTTAGTCACCTGTGGCTTTCTTTAAATTGTTTCGAGGCTGAGCAGGTGTAGGGTGAGGGGTCTTCCTGGAATTCCTGGGACCTTCTTGGCAATCTCCTCCTCTGAACCCCGGGCAGCATCTCCATTCCATCTGTGTCACTGTTTTGTACTTAGTGACATATCTTGGTCTGAAGTTCACACGATACCTGTTGAAAAAAAGGACAGTGTTGACTCTGACTGCTGTTTAAAGCACTCTGACCCTCCTAGGGCTGGACTTGAAGAAGGATTCAGGTTGAGCAGGGCCCACACAGCTCTCTCCAAGAAGGTGGGGATTAATGGGACCTTCAGTCACACTTGCCTCTTTAGTTCAGGAAACTCTGATCAGCTTCAGGAAAGTGAAGACTCAATACAGGGCAAAGGCCTCTGTCCTCATCTTTCAGATGCCCCTGCATCTGACTTCCCACCCTTGAACACAGAGGAACCAGACTGCTGAGAAAAATTACTCTACTAGTCCCCTTTAGAGAGCCCTGGTGGCTGCCCTGTCAACCCAAATGCATATTGTTCACATCCCTCCTCTCCTCTGAGGGAGAAAGAAGGGCAATCTCCTCCAGTACAATTTACTGCCTCTGGAAGCCTTCTGGAGGGTCAGTTATGAGTCTGTTTCGACCAGATGGTACATAACAATAACAACAGCCCCATTTGGTATATTGTTGTTGTTGTGTGCTGTGAAGTCAGAACTGAATCATACAGACATTTATCTTACTGCAAGAGAATATTTTTAAAAGAAAATTTGCTAACTATAATTATTTCTAACTGCCCAGGTCAGTAACTTTAATCACACCCACCACATTGTGCAACCATCACCACTGTATACATGAACATTTTCAAGCTTCCAAACAGAGCTTTTGTTTTGCCAACAAACTTCCCCACATTTCACTGCCTTGCAGGACTCCTCCAGGTATGACCCAGGGCTGCTTGGCTTGAGTCGTATTTTAAAGGCAAATGTTCCTGGTGTCCTGACTTCCTACAACATCCACCTGTTCTCCTCTATGTGTCCATTCTCTAACATCTCTGCTTGGAAACCCTGGGAGATTGCATCCTGCACTGTTTGCTTACAGATCTGCAACTGTGCCCTGGCTCATGCTGCTAACATTAGGAATAAGAAGTCAATGAAAAATAAAGCAACCCATTTAAAAAGCATATTCTAGGAGCTTGCCTGCTAGTGAAAGACACTGACATTGAGCAAGGGATACAGGATAGAAGAAACATTTGGGAACATGGTGGTTCCACATTTCAAGCTTTGCCCTCTGCACCCCTTCATTTGTATATTTTTTGTTAGAACTGTAACTGCAGTAAAGGGACGGATGTTGGTTTTATCTTGGAACACTTTAAGGGCCAGAAATCAGAAATGGTCCAATTAGAGCAGTTTGTGTATGTGCCAACTGAAGCGATGGAAAAAGAGAACATAATATGTAAGGCCCAGCCATAAGAATCGCCCTACTTTCCAGAACATTCTTGGAGTTCTTCCTTGTCTCTGTAAATGTTGAAAACCATGATAAGGCTTTTTTTTTTCTGTTTATTTGAGTGAAGGTTTAGAAACCATATTGGTTCCTCATACAATTCATAAATATTTTGTTTTATACCATTAATTGCCACTGATTAATAGATATTAATTACAATGTCAGCACTATAACAGGGTCTTGAAAACACTTGTTGTCATTATAGATCATCAATTAAAATGTGCATTTCTGTTCACCAAGGAATAAAAATATTTGTGGAAACAAAAAATTGCACATTTCCTGCTGCACAGTCCCACCACCGACCAAGAACGGAGGCGAGGCACAAGCTGCTCCAGGTGCGGGCTGGTCTGCGGGTGGTGGGGACACATCTGAGAGCCCAAGGCTGCATAGTCACAGACATGTCTCTCAAGCTGGGGAGAGCTCAGAGCGGCCCCCATGTACAAGCCAGGCCTCCAAACCACCCTCTCCAGAGCTGCTGCACTTTCTCTTCGTTTCTAGCACCAGCGCTACAGCTGGCCTTCATTTGGTGTCAATTCCCAGAGAGAAATGGGTTTGGTATCCTCACTTCCTTAGGGTCAGAGCATGGGTCACCGTGGTGCAGACTAGCAGCTGTGAGGTCCTGTGCTGTGGGGCAGGGCGGGGGTCCACAGGAGGGCGGGCTGTGCCCCTGTGCCTCCACCTAAACACCAATCCGTGGAAGGTGAAATTCAGTGGCACATGAAATTCAGTGGCACTTGTAAGCAAAACAGCAAAGACAAATGGGTTGAGCAGGGGACATTTTCCCAAGGGTGAAAACAACACACAAAATCTGCAATGCGAAGGCCTCACCTGCATGACATGTGTGTCCCCTCTAGAACTCTAAGAGGACCTGCTGACCGTCCACATCTATCAGGTGACCTGAATTCATTGCCCCTTCACAGTCAGCACTGCAGCTCCTGCTGGGGGGCAGCTTTTCTCAAGCTGAGCTGTGCATCACAATCACTACCTACTTGCCCCCAGAGAACTGAGCGTGGCGACTACACGTGTCAGAGCAGAACTGGGCCCCATGGGCTTTCAGCGGCTCACCTTCTGGGAGCAGATCATCAGGCCTTTCTTCTGAAGCACCTTTGGGTAAGCTCGAACCTCTAATCTCTCGGTTAGCAGCCAGGAGCATTATTACCACCCACAGACCCCAAGAAGTGCTCAGGAACTGCTGAAAACACCAACGCCTAGGAACTTCAGTTAAACTTCTGATTTAATTGAGAAGGGACAGGATCAGGGCGCTGTGGTTTGGGGAAGTTCTACTGGGAACCTTTTCCAAGAAAAACTGAAATCTCCATAAATAAAACAAAAAGCAAAAGCTGCACTCCTAGGGAAGGAGCTGTGGTGACCTAGTGTCAAGAAACTGTGCTGCAATCCCAAAGGCATGCGGTTCGAATCCACTAGATCCTCCGCTGGAGAAGGAGGGGCAATCTCCTGTGCCAGTTGGATTTGACTGCGCGATAGAAAACAAGAAAGAAAAAAAGGGGGGGGGCGGGAAGCTGCTGTCATGGGTAGATGTATGTGTGTGTGTGTGTGTGTGTGTGTGTGTGTGTGTGTGTGTGTGTGTGTGTGTGTGTGTGTGTGTGTGTGTGTGTGTGTGTGAGAGAGAATGTAAGTGTGTAAGAATGTATGTGTATGAGAACGTGTTTGTGCATTTGTGTGAGAGCTTGTGCACATGAGTGTGTGAGGATGTGTGTATGTGTGTGTATTTGTGTGAGAGCCTGTGCACACATGTCTGTGTAGGTGAGAGTGTGTGTGATGTGTGTGCACGTGTGCGTGTGAGAATATATGTGTTTAAGTATATGTATCTCTGTGTGTGAGAAGGAATGTATACGTGTGTAGACTTTTAGTCTTTCTCATTCCCATCCCACACTCCTCAAGACTCCACCCTCCATCTCTATGAGGAAACAGATGATCCGAGCTGCTCAGAGACTTGCCCAAGTTCACAGGAAGGGACAGAGCTAGCAAATAAACGCAGCTGCTCCCTTTCTAAGCTGGTGGCCCCTCCAGAGGCTGCTGCCCTCACAGCGCGCAGAGAGAACACCGCTCCCTGTGGATAACCTTCACCCAGCGCTGCTCCCTAGGGCCCGCAGACAGAGGGGAGATGGGAGCCAGGGCCCACCTTCAGCAAACATCACCTGGTGTCCACACAAGGACACACAGGCCCTGGACCTCCCACCACCAACAAAACACTCTGTGTCCCTAGAAAATGGGGGTGGGGAGAGCGGGAAAATCCTTACTCGATTGATTCACATGTTCATGTAGAACATAATGCTAGAAAAATGTGTAATAACAGAAAAGCCCTGCTCCTCAGAATTTTGGAGGGAACATGAGAATGCCTTGCTCCTGGATCTCATTCATGAGCCAGCAGTGCTGGGCCCAGCCTAGGGCTCTGAGAGGAGGACAAATGCAGACCCCTAGGCCTGGGCCTGGGCTCAGAGGGATGACCCTTTCACTCTCCCTTCAGGTCCAGCACAGGAAGCCCGTTCCCTATGCGTTCACTTCACCACTTTCTACAAAGGCAGCTGTATTTTGGGGCCTGCTCGCCACTGGGCAGTCCCTGAACTAGGCCCCTACACCCCACACCGTTCTCTGCCCCATCTCCCTCCTTAACCACGGAGTCTCCTTGCAACTGAGTCCAGGTTGAAATCAACATTCAGTCCAACGTGTGCAGGAGGCCTTCAGTGATCAGGACAGCTGGAAGCCATCAGAACTCCGTCCAAAGGAAGGAACCACCGAAAGGCCCCTGTCCTCACATTCCGTGCAGGACAACTGCAGAGGTACTGGGCCTTAACGGAAGCAGGAGGAGGGCTGCCAGAGCCCCCCAAAACCAGCCTCTGCCTCCACAGTAGCCAGCAGAAGGTCCCCAGGACAAGGAGGGCTCAGGTGGGGCCGACTTCTCCCCTCCACCCAGGGCACTGCAGGGAAATGCCAGGGAAGTTAGAAGACGGCCTTTCCCCTCAAGCAGCCCTGGTCGGGAGTCTGCAGTGTGTGTGTAAAGCTAACTGGAAGGCCAGGGACTCCACGTTTCGAATCCACCAGCTGCTCCTCAGGAGTAAAATGAACAGCCCCCTCCTTTTACTATTTAATCCTCAATTATTTAGGGGGTGCTGTAAATTGGAATTGATTCGATAACAGTGGATGTGGGGTTTTACCTTTGAAATTCTAATAAAATTGATCAGCAAAGGGGTACTCCAGGCACCACCACCTTTCAAAGACTCCCTGAATTAATAATCTTTAAGAGTGAGGATGCAGCTTCTGTTCCCTGCCCTGCGGGGAGCTGGGCCTCACACATGGGAGAGTGAAGCTGCTGCCCAGGGGATGGTGCTGCCCAGGGGACGCTGGGCCGTGCCCACGAGAGATGCTCATTGGGCGATTATGCCATTTGCAGCCAGCAGGGTGGCCAAACCAAGTACTGGCAATCAGCTTAGGATGCTGACCTGGCTAGGACCTGTCTCTAGGGCTGTCACTGCACCTGTCCCAGGGAGCAACCCCTCTAACGAGCCCTGGTTAGGATACTGTCTCTGAGGGGCCCTTCACTCACTGCACCTGCTCCAGGGAGCATCCCATCCATCCCTGCCTTGGCTAGGACCCTGTCTCTGAGGGGCCATGACTGCACCATAAACCATGGAGAGTTCATTGTGCCCTAGGCTGTGTCTTGCCCT